CTCCTAAAATGGTTCCTAACAGTTACTCTGTTAATTAGCCAAGGCTGTCTCAAATATGCATCCTTTAAACAGCACTCCAGTCATCCACTTGCATTAACTGCCTCTCTGCATTGTTTTGGAGGAGTGTGGGGTTGGAGGGAGAAAAAAAATCATTCAGCCTTATCTAGCTCCATGAACAGTCATTACTTACTTGGATTTGATGGTGGAACTGCTCTTGCTGGGCATTTATTTGTTCCTGGCATTGTTTTTCTACCAGTCTCAGTAGCTGTAGCCACCTTGCCTATTAAACCACAAAGTAAAATAATTAAAGCACAGAAATTTTGCACCTCTTACCTTTTTCTCTGGCTACAAATAGTTTTGCAATCCTATCCTTGGGTGCTGATATAACACAAAGTTGAGTAACAGCATTCAGCCCCCACCATGCCAATCAGTGGAAACTAAAAGTAGGAACAGCTGCCAGCAAAGAACAGTCAAGTTCTGGAAAGGTTGATTCCAGTTTCATTAATCATAGGCAATTCTAAAATTGTGAATTAAACACCCTTCTGTCCATCTACTTTAGTAGGAAACTCAACAATCTCAACAATCCAGCTAAAGGCCATGACACATTTAATTATGTCATGGAAATTAAGAGATAATTTTTTAAAAAATCAAATATACAGCATTCCTGAAACATGGCAAAATCTGATGTTTAAAAAATATTTTATGTTTATGGAGCCTAGTGCTTGAAGCACAGGACACGGGACACAGACATCAATATTCTGTTCCTGGAGGTGTTAAAGAGAACCCAAATTAAGCATCTGTCAACACACATTTGGATGGATCCCAGCCAGGAAGCTCAAAAATCTGCAAGAACAAGCCCATGGTGTGGAAAACTGATGTTCCTTCTGATGACTACAAATAATGATAAAATTTAAAATACAAAAGGACAAAAAAATGTCCAAAAAAGCGTTTAGGAGAATCAGTTCGTTGAAAGCACATCATTATTTTTGCATTGGTTTAAATCTGGAAACAAACTACACATCTTTACAAATGGATTGTATAAATAAGTCAAGCAAAATAGAACCACTTTTAGAAAAAACACTTTCTAATTTCTAGGATCACTTCAGACCAGTTTGATGTGATACAGTTTTAATGGTTTAAATTTTTCAGTTCACAAAGTTGCTATCTTTATTGTAACTTGAGGAAAAAATGTTCAGATCCATATTATAAAACACCAAGATAGAAAGACAAATTACTGTAAATCACTAAGATAAAATTGCAGTAAAATCCAGCCAGGTGATTAGTTTATTGCAAAAGGATATGTCCCATCATTAAGAATAAACACAGATCTTGCTGCTGAATTGTATCATTAGATTTGTCTTCCAAAATGCAAATATTATTAATATTTGTAATAAATACTAATACATAAATAATAAGTATTAATACATTAATACCACTTTTTTAAAATAAACTTTAATATCAAGTACCTCACAGTTCCTCACAATTTCCGAGTCAGCATGGCCAATGTTCTGGATATCTTGCATAAAGGAGGCAAGCAGCTCAACAGAACCAGGCTTTAATGAGGACCTAGTATTCCCTGAGTAACCAGAAACTCCATTGGGATTGGATGAAGGACTTCTAGTGAAACATGAGGAAAAACAGCTCAATTATTTATTGTGTCAGGTGTGCAACACAGTGGCTCAAACAATACACTGCATATGCCAGTCTGCCTGAAGAGAATGATACACTCAATTTACATTAGGGCTCTCATCATGTTGAAATAAAATTCCACCTTAATACCAATATTATTGTGAAGGCATGCTAAGTAAGCAGAACCAAAATAATAGAAGTATTTGTTAGTGATTCCTTCAGCACATTACCTGTTAGAATTCAAGTTACAGCCAGAGCTGTGGGTGTTTCTGACATCAGAGTCTGCAGAGGATGAAGGGGTTTCTTGTACAGAATTCACCACATTGCTGTTTTCCATATCTTAGTCCCAAATATGACATCACCCTGAAAACAGAGAGATATAAGCATCACTCTCTTTCTTTAAAGAAACATTTGACTTCATCATGTGAAGAAACAGAATTAGCACTGAAGTTGTGTCAGCCAAACCACCTCAGAATGTGCAAATATTCCAAAACCAGGCTCCCTCCCTTCTCCTGTGCCATCCCTGCAAACAGGTGCTGCTCAGTCAGCCTCGTGCCTGCAGGGCCTCCCACAAGTCCAAGAGATTCCTAAGACATCCAGACTGGGCTGTAAAGGACAGCTGAATGCAAAACATTCCAGGTAAAACCGTGTTGTTTGGGTCTGATGGGTTGTTTTCTTTTTAAATCTGGGGCTCCACACAACATGTGCAAGGTGTGAAATCTCCTATTAAAACCTTCACTGGAAGAAACACACTCGCCAAAAATTATAAAACTGAGACCAACTGAGTTAGACTGGGATCGACCAATTCTGCCATTTCCATGTGTAATATTTGGCTTGCTTCTTTCACAGATCACTTGTTTCATTGCTATTATGTAACATTAATTCAGAAAGCTTTGAAATTGCTTTGAGCTACATTTCTGACCAATTAATAAAACAACAAAAAAAGAGCCAAAAGGGAATCCCATGGTGGTTGGAAACAGCAGCTGGTTAACTGAAAACATCATAAATAAATAAATAAACAATATTTGGGCCACAGTCTTACAGCACTCAAAGCAGACTGACTGGAGAGAGACTAAAATATTCTTCCAGTTTGCATTCTTTCACTAAGAAAACCCTTGAAATACATTAATTAATCAGTTCTTATATAGGGTTTATTTCAGCATGTTCTACACCCTGGTGAATTCAGCCTGTGTTTTAACACCAAAGAAAAACCTTATGATCATTCCATGGATGGAAAGCAAAAAGAGACATTGAGAAATATCATCTTGATAGTTTGATAATGCCAAGAATAAATTCCTGCTGCTTTAAAGAACCACAGCACCTCCAAAGCATGACTATTCCTTTTTACAGGGCTTACCAAGACATGCTGATGGGTTTTACAGATTCAAGTTTTCATTATTTGCAAGTTCTTGGAGATATGTCTCTAACAGTTTCAGAAATATAAAATATTTTCACCAGAAGGAAACTAATGGACATCTGCCCTGTTTTCCCCTGTTTTACTGGTGCCTGTTTGGCTTTAGCAGAAATGGTTTTGGGTACTCACTCACTATCTCCTCTGGGTAGGGCTGAAAATGCTAGAATTGGAAGGAAGTGATCACAGACACACACATAACTCTGGCAGAGCTTCTTGAGATAAAGAAAAGAAGAAGAAAAACACGGCTTTCTTCTTTTTCTGGAGGTCAGAAGCCTACAAAACTTGGAGGTTATCAGGCGCTAAGGTGACAGCTAAAGCTGAGGATGGGAGTGTCACCGGAGCAGTGGATGGGGGCTGCACCAGTCACCCCCGAAGCCCCAGGATGGAATCATGGGTGGCCTATCTCAGCAGCACAGCAAATGGGTGGGACTTAGCTGTGACACAGGCTCGTTTCATAACCCCATTAGAAGTCTGTTCTCGATAAAAAACATCTTCGTGAGCTGTAACTGTGCTGCGGGAGCGCTGTCATCCATCGATCCCACAGCACAGCCCGGTCCTTACACGGCCACGTAGCTGCAGAAAGGGGCACGGTTGGAAAAAAAACAAGCTGCGAGGTGTTTTTAACTCAGAAATAGCGGCGCTGATTTCGATGCGAACGCGGGCGCCAGTGCAAACACAGAGCCCGTGAGGTTCTGCATCGCTTCCTGAGCCAGACCCGATTCCTTCCGATCCCTCGCAGACCCCTAAGCGGTGACAGGGCGCCTCGGGCCCCCCCACCACCAGGCCCCCATCTCCCCACGGACCTTGAGGGACCCCCAAAAGGCACAGCGAGTCCCGGCGCTGCAACGCCCCAGTCTGTCCTCAGGAGCCGCCCGGGCCCCACGGGCTCAGGCCCCGCAGGGACCCTTCTCGCCACGTCTGCGCCCTCGGGGCCGCCTCCCGTCGCTCTGTAACGCCCTCCCCGGCTCCGTGTGCGTCCCGCCCGCTTACAAGTGCGGCGCTGCCCGCGCTGTCCCCCAGGCCCCTCACAGGTCACCCCTCACTCGGCGCGGCCCCGTCCCTTCACCAGCGCCCCCCAGCGGCTCCGCCCCCCCCCGCCCGCTCAGGCTAAGCCCCGCCCCCGGCCCTTCATTGGGCGGCCGCTCCTCGCGCTCCACGATGTTGACAGCGCCACCGCCTCCGATTGGCTGCAGCGCCCGCCACTCTGTGGGGAAAGGGGCGGCGCGCTGGGGGCAGCCTCGCGGCTCCGGCACCGGCTGCTGGGACCCGGCCAAGCGCAGCGGCGCTGCCCCCGCCGGCTCCCCGTGGGCCCGCTCGGTTCGTACCCGCATTGCTAGGAGCCCACGGCGCCCGACAGCCGCCTCCTCCCCCGGCCGTGAGGCGACGAACAGGCGCGGCCCTGCGCCGTCCGCCCGGCGAGTGGCGAGCGAGAGTTTCGAACGTGGAGACGGGGGTAGAGGGCGCTCCGCACCGAGCCCGGCCCCGTGATTGGCCGCCTCGAGCGCGCGCCAGCCCGCGCCTCCCGCGCTGATTCGCTGCGCGGCAAAGCCCGCGCGCCGCCGCCAGAGGATTGGCGCGCGCCGCCGCGCCGTCCACCGGAACAGCCGATTGGAAGGCGAGCGTAATCCCCGCCCCACCTCGCGCAGCGATTGGCTGATCCGCGTGCCAATCAGCTCGGCAGCACCGCCCTCCCCGCGGGGTGCGCATGCGCGGTCCGGGAGGGCCGGCGGAGGTGAGCTGGGCCGGGCGGGACCGGAGGGGTCGGGCCGGGGTTCGGGTTCTGTTCTCGGTTTCCCCCGCTCCTCTCCGCCCCGCCGGGAGCCGCGCTCCGAGCCTGACCCCAGCCCGCAGCGCTGCCGCCAGCCCGGGGGGGACCGCGGCGGGGCGCAGCGCTGAGGGACACTGAGTAAATCCTCCGGTATCTTCTGTGTTTCCTCCTGCTTTAGAGCTGTAGCGAACAGCAGGAACAGATTGAGTGAGATCGTGATTTTTTAACCTTATCAAGAGTTTTCAGTCCTGTTTTCAAAACGGGCTTCTGTAAGTGGGTAGAGCTGTATGAAACCTGTTAAATAAAGGCTCGTTCGTAACTAGCCAGAAGTGCTGCTCTGTTTTCTGCATGTATTCTTCATTTTAAAACGTTACGAACTAATGTAGCGGCTGCCAATGAAAGTTTTACTTATTTATTAATTTCAACAGTTGTATTAAAATTTTCTGTTTATTTTCAAGTGGCACTTCTTCACGCACTAAAGTATTCTGAGTCAAATAAAGTATTTCAAGCATAACAGCAATTACTTACCTAATGCCTTGCTGAAGACTGACACTTGACAGGAGCAGGAGCTGGCATTCCTCATTATCCATGAGGAAAATGCACACTTCCAGGCAGACCTTTGTGCCTTTGTTAATACCCTGACCTGGGAAAAATCAGATTCCCAGTGATACTGTACAGATCAGACTGTAAGACTGAAATAAACTCTTTTCCCTCTGTTGTTTTGGGTTTTTCTTTTTACATGTTTAGGATTTTCCAAGTGTTGGTAGGAGTATTCTTTTATTTTCTGTTTTCTAGATCCCTTTCAAAATATTTAAGAAACATAATCACATTGAGAACCAAAATTCTATTCAGCTTGGCAAATATTTCAAGGCAAATGCCTGTGAAACCAGTTTCAGATAATGTTGAAATACTGCTCAGTATGTGCAGCTGAAGTAACTCACTTTAAAACAAGGATTCTCATGGTAAACTCCACTCTCCCATTCCATTCCAGGTTTCATTCCAGAGAAGCCGTGTCCTCGTTTCTGTATGAATGTTCCAAGTTTATTTCATTTTGCATTCTTGCTGAGAGGGGTGCAAACACCATCATGGACACGGTGGATTTTGAGGAAGCAGCAGCTCTCTCTGCCCAGCCTTCCCTTGCTTCAGGCAGCAAGAAAAAGGAACTCTTTGAATCTCCTTGAACTAAGTGAGGCAGAATTAGAAGAACAGTTTGTAAGAGGTGATGGTCCAGGAGGTCAAGCCACAAATAAGACAAACAACTGTGTTGTCCTGAAGCATATTCCATCTGGGATTGTAGTGAAGGTAATTGTGTTTTATTTTATTGAGTCACAAATTGCATCAGGCCTTCCAAGTCTCCTTTCAGAATAAAGCATAATCACAGTGCAGGTGGCATGGAGGAGAAGTTTATATATATATATATAGTAAAGAATCAAGAAGCAGTCTTGGCTGTCAGCAGATAAATAAACTTGGGGTTAGAGCTGCTTTTCCTGGCTTTGCCACCCAGTTACAGTTTTGTAGATTTCAATTAAGTGAATCTTCATTGTAGCTGCTGTTTGGTGGCAGCTGTCACATTCCCATCCCTCACATGAGTTAGAATCTCTTCCTTAGCAAGTTGATCACACTCACTCTGCAGATCCTTTTTTAAGCATTTCTCTTACCTACTTCTTGTGGATTAATACCTTGAAATTAATCTTTGCTTCCTGTCACAAGGGGAAGACACAGTTAAGTTAAACTCAAGCAGCTTTCCAAGGTAAGATGGGAAGCATTAAAGATTAATGCAAAAGCCACTCTGATGAGTTACAGTAGCAAATAATTGTTAAAATATATCATCTGGATTTAAAAGTTGCAGCTGTTATTGGTGGGAGGATGCTCTTGGCTTGGGGAGGAAGGGACTTTCTTTACTGCAATGGTGGGAATATATAGACTGAAAGGTAAAGTTAAAGAATAAACAGGTTCAAGTTTCAGTAAAAATGTCCTTTGTATTTCTTCAGTGTCATCAGACAAGATCAGTGGAGAAGAACCGAAAGATTGCCAGAGAAATCCTTCAGGAAAAAGTTGACCTTTTCTACAAAGGTGAAGACAGTGATGTTTTTAAAGAGAAGAAAGCAGTAGAGAAGCAAAAGCAGGAGAAAAAAAGAAGAGCAAAGGAAAACCTAGAAAGGAAAAAGCTTTTCAAAGAGATGCAGCAATTGGATAAGGAATAAACATGTGAAATACTGACTTGCCCTAGCAGGGTAAGAGAATTGTTTGTCATTAGACCCAAAGAGTTTTCCAACTAACAAATGGTGCAGGGCTTCATACGCACAGCTGAAACCCCAGTGCTGACCTGCTGTTCCTGTAAAGCTGAGGAGATAAAAGCACTCATGTACTCCTGCTTCTCCCTGCCATCATCTCATTAATCACATTTAGCAATCAGTTTTGCTGCCAAGTTCAGGAGATAAAAGAATCCTTGTTAAAGAGGAGCTATAAGCTTTCCACCATTGTTAGCACAGACCAAAAAAAAAATCAATATATTTCCTTCTCTGCTGGTGACACCTTGGGCTGCTTCATGGGAGCTCCAGCATGTGAGAACAGCACTAAAAAGTTCTCAGTTCCCATCCTTACTGAGGCATAGTGAGTGCCTGGAGTGACACAAATCCTCCACAAACTGTGCCCCGGTTTGGATGCTGGTTGTGATGGTGTGAACTGAGCTGCTGATGGAAGAGGCACCAGTCACTGGTTCAGATCTGTCAGCTGAACAAATGCTCTGTCCTACTCAGCTCTGAATAAAGTTTAACCAGCAGCTTTCCAGACCTTACCTGGAGTGGTGCTGAGCACTGGGGCACAGGGAGGGCCCTCCAGTTCATGGGTAAAACTGAGTCATTACAGATAAAAATGGCCTGTGTTGGAAGCTGCCTCCCAAGGCAACAGAGTCCAGTTCATCCAAGCTGTGAATTAATTAATTAGAGTTGTTTATTATGTTTATGCTGTGCCTCAGTTCAGCTCGGCCATGTTGGTACCTTCACTCATTTTGACAGTTTCCCATTTTACAGGAACAAATGCAGATGCTTTTCCTTTATCACCATTACTCCAAAGCCACTCCTCAAGTACATCTTTCCTGGTTTTATCCTGTTAACAACTCCAGCAGCTTAACCAGAACTTCTCTTCCGTTTTTGGACAGCACCCTCACCAGTTGCCACCATGTTTTGGCCTTCAACAAAGACCCAAAGCCAGAGTATGGATTTTGAAGGCAACAGAGACTTCTTGAACTTTACCTCCTTGTCCAGCTGTACCCTGTGCCATGGATGGAGTGCTCCAGTAATCTGAAGTCCCCTTCCCTTGTCCTTTCCTAAACTTTTATCTGTTGACAGTTCTTGCTCCTGGAGTGTGATTAAAGTGACTGTACATAGTTTTAATACAAACTGTTAATGAAAATAAGCTTTATTACGTCAAGTAATAAATACATACAAAGATGCAAATAACAGTTTTAGTAATTTATCCAGAATGTTCTTTTTTTTTTCTTTTTTTCTTTTTTGCAAACTTTAAACTGAAATCTCCAGCCTTAATGTAGAAATTAGCTTTCTGGGATCTTGTTATTATTTAATAGGTTTCCCTATTTTCCATATAGCTCATGCACTTTAAGTGGACTTCAAAGCACTAACAGTCATGCAAATGTTTATGCAAAATGAACAAAAAAAAGGAAAAATAAGAGAAGGGGGAGGTTATTTCTAAGCAGGGTCTATGCTGTATGACAAATTGTGACTTAGCAGACTACTAGGTACAGCATGCTATTCTGCATTTATTAAAAAAAATCCTTAGAGCTTATGTCAAACTTTGAAAGATTGACATTTTGGGGATAAGTGAACATAGTCAAAGGAAAAAAAAAACAGAATGAGGCTGTGGCTGGATAAGAAAAGAACTGAAATATAGCCTGGGAGAGAAAGAGCATTCCTCTGCATGCACATCAGTTTCCATGTTTTAGAAACATTCTAGGGAGTTTTAACGTCTTTAGAAAATGCAAACCCTCAGTAAGTTGAAAAATCCTTGTTTGTTCTTTTTTTTCATTCTTAACTGTACATTTTTGCAAGGGCAAAACAAGAACGGTAAAACATTCAAAATAAAGGAGTTTGAATGTTTCAAGAGTCAAAAAGCATAAGTGTTACATTTTCTTCATGGAGAGATGGAAAACCTTGCAGCTGAAGCAGTGGGCTAGGATCTTGCATTTCGTTCCGTCTCGGCCAGGCATTCCCGAACTAATCCTCTAGCATGGATAATGCCTGCAAAAGAATTGGAAGTGTTTTAAATCATCCCATTCAGGCCACACTTGCAGTGACAGTCCACAGAAAGGTTTATGTATTTCTGTCCCCAGTTGCCAAGGCTACCCAGAAGGCCTCAGCAAAGGGGGACAGCCCTCGCTTCCCAAACATCAGTTGCCACTAAACAACTCTGATTTCCCAAACTTGCATTATAAATTGAAAAGGGACTAAAGCAGGAATTAGAACACAGTAAGATTTGTAAGTCTCCAGTGGCAGGTAGATCTTAATGTACAGTGTGGGCCTCCTTAAAATCAAAGATTTAAGAGGGGAAAAAAAAATCTTACCTACCAGTGGGTTATTTTGCTAGTGGAGTGAAACAAATTACAAAGTTATTTGGGGAGTCATTTTAGCAAGCTCTTAATGCCTTGGGATAGTTCTCCTCTGGGTGGGTACATCAAAATCCAAACCATCATAATACTTTTCAAAGACAACTTGTGTCTCTCATATGAAAACAAGAGATTTTTTTTTTTAATGGTATGTGCAGAAAGTTACCTCCTAACACTGGCTCAGCTCCCAGTGTAAATCATCACCACTTTACGTGCTGCCGTGTCTACTCTCATCTGATAATGTGGAATTTTCCACTACAAGTCCTGTTGCCTTGAGTTCCAGCAATCTGGACCTTGATTCATAATCCTGGAACTAAATGTAGATTCATGCTTACAGAGCTGCTGAAAGAACAGAGCTTGAGATAGATATTGGAATAAGAGACAGACAGATTTTTCTACAACAAAGGTTTATATTTTGCTGACTAGGCAGGACAGAAGGTGATTTCTCTGCTCCATCATGCTCCTTAACAAGGTGGAGAAAGGGCAGCAAGGCAAGAGATGGGGGTTAATCTCTAGAGATAATGGCTTCTGTTTCTAGAAGGCTGCTAGCCCAGATCACAGCAGCAGCCTACTGACCTGGGAGGACTTGTGTGCAAGAGTGATGAGTGCAGAGGGTTAAACTGCCACAGACCAGGAGAGCTGCAGCTGTGGGATGCAGAAACATGAGCTCAAAGCAGTTTGTTAGACCTGGATCTGGTGGCAGGATGCCCAGTTCATGCAGCAGAACTACTCTGAATAATGTAGAATACTGGGAATTTGGCCAGTTTTAGAGGTCAGTAGCCTCTGTGCACAGGAGCGGGCGGAGCTGGGACAGGGACTTTATTCAGGGATAACCTCCATGGCCGTGGAGGCAGCAGTCACATGTTACCCTCAATCACTTCTGCTCTCACACTTGCACATGCTCCTTCAGCCATCAGGCTCCCAAAATGGAAAGAGAGGCACCTCTGTGACCAAAAGATGGCAGCAAAAAGTATTTATTTAGGATTTTGTGTAACACTGGCAAGTCACAGTGGCAGCATTGTATCTCAAACCTACGTTGTTGCAATAGGCAGCAAAGCAACTTTTTTGCTCACTGAACTAAACCATCCAGTCCAGACAATGTCTGCATCTCTCTCGGTCTCTCTCAAGTTGTCCCCATTAGCCTGTTGCCATTCATGATCTATTAATTCTGACTCAGGCAATGCAATAAAGAGAGACTCCAGCAACATTGATTTTAGCTGGGCCAGATTCCACTTACCACTCATCAGCAGACTTTATTGCATCCTTTCCCAGAACAGCTACTAGTCATTTTATTGCATGTCATGGCAGATATATTACTCTTCCATAATGGTTGAGCCTTAAATAAAGCTTTGTAGTCTGGGGTAAGTGTAAGGGGGATTTGCAAGGTGCTGAAGTTAGTCTGTTACAATAACATTCCCTTTCTGGGTTGAATGTGTGAGCCAATCTCAGCACAAGGACCACAGGAAGGCAGGAAAAAGTAAGCATGTCATGCTAGAGAAGGAGAGGACTGTCAGTACAACTGTTGTCTGTGGCCTTTCAGGGTCATTTCAGGAGCTGGAGCAGGGGAATGTCCCACTGCTCCTTCAGAAATATCCCTGCACGTCCCCTGCAGAGGACAATGTCAGGCTGATGTCAGCAGTGGGGCATGCAGGGGTTTCTTTTACACTGCAAGGAAAGGGCATTTATTACCTCTTTTAGCTGACAAAGCAAAGCTGGAGAGACTCATCAGACAGCCCTAAAAGCTGCTCTGTCCCTTACTAGTGGACTTTTAATGACATACACTTGACAGGACCTAACAGAGCCTAAGCAGCCCCACTCTCCTCTCTCCGCAGAGTTCTGTGTTTGACATCTCAGCCTGAACCCCCAACACCTTTTCGGGTTTTTTTTGTAGCTCTTTTCTCCACCAGCCTCAGTGAGAACTACCACAATGTTGTATTTCTTTAGGCAAAACACACTTCACTGAAGATTCTTGGGCCAAGTAGTTTGGTGATGTGTAGGAAATGCAAGCAATGCTTGGCTGTGGATTTTGGGGAGATGAAAGGGAATTGAAAGGGCAAGTAAATCACCAGGAGCCTGAAAGAATGTATCCAGGTTCTACAATAAGGTTTGAATTATTAACTGAAACTCCCTGTATGCACATGAAACACATTTTGTCGGTGTTTACTGCTCAGACAGAGCATCCCAAGGTTTCAGCTGCTGGTTAATGCTCCCACTTTCAAGAGGAGCCCAAGTTCTTATTTTCAAAGGAAACAGTTGTCATTAAGCTGTATACAAGTAGTGCACAAAGTGGATAGGAAACAATTCTTTTTTAAAATAAGTTTAAAAGTTACCTCTTTTTAGCCTCTCCATCGCACTTTTACTCCCAGCATATGTAGGTCTAATCTCTTTTCCTAATTCTTCTATGATAGCTAGAAGTTCTGCATATTTGCTCTGTGGTACTTGACTGCTGCTGGTGCCCTGTAGTTGAAAGTAGATTAATCTCAGTCAAATACTGTAAAAACAGAACAATTACAAGAAACAGCAAGTGGAAGTTTATGGAAGACTAGAAATAAGTCTGTAGCCCTGTAAATTACTAAAAGAACAAAATTTCAGGATTATTATATAAACATTATTTTTTTTTTTTTTAATTGCTGCTACTGTTGGACACACTGGTACATGCCCTTCAAAAATTGCAATCAACTGTGAGGATGAAGCTGCAAGCCTTGGACTTTGGGTGAAGCAGAACTTAAAACAGTCCTGCAAAACTGGCAAACTGGGAACTGCTTATTTAACCCTGTTTCTGGTTTTTCAATGTTTTGGTGTATATTTTGTGGAGAAGATAGCCAGGTAGGGAGACAGAGCAGATAAAACTGTATAGAAATACTGGGTTTTTAACAGATAACTTTAAAATATGTAAGTGCCCTTACAGAACATAATGCAAGACATTTCTCTGTGACTCAGACAGGATGGGACTAGCAGTTAATTAGGAACCAACCTCACTCAGCACTCAGCTTAGCCTAATTTGATCCCCAGACATGTGCAAGGAAGCAGTCTGCCATTTGGGTTTGATTTCAGACCTTGGTGGGAGGGAGGAACACCTCAGATTACAGGCTACAATCACTGCTACTATGCAAACATAGGGTCAGTGATCTGATTAAAGGAAAATAAGCAGAGCTGTACCTGCATCCCTTGTGTATAGCCTAGAGATGGGGGGCCGTAGTCGTTTATGAGCTGTCTGTACTGTGCTGATGTTGCCATACTTGTGGAGGGAGAGTGAACACTCCCAGCTGCAGAGAGAAAAGGAAAAAAAACCACCAAAAACGGTTATTATCTAAAGATTAATTAGTCTGTTACACTGGGACACATTTTAATCACTTGTTCCTAAAGCTGTGACCTCTCACCTTTGTCTAAGATCACTAATGACATTTCTGAACGCCGCTGCTAGGAAGAGAATGGCTGAATTAATGCTTCTCTAGTGCTTGATGAACACTTGGAAATAGCACAGCCTGCAGCATTATCAGTGCAAATTGTTTGCCTAAAAGTGAAGCAGAGTGCAGCATGACAGGTTGTTCTGCCTAGACAAACTGTAAGTATTAAGGAGCCCTATTTTTGCATATATACATTCCACACAGATGAGTGTAATGTGCTGTGCTATTTTTACTTTTTCAGTGCAAGTTATCTGAAAGTAATTTTGCAACTCAAAGTGTCATCACATGGTCAAAGCAAGTTACCCTCAGTACTATTTTCAGCCAATGCCAAAACTATTCCTATTCCTAGGAAACAGTCAAGTTGAGGTACATCAGATCTGCTGCTCATTGTGTGACATGGGAGGCGAGGAGTGCTACCATTATTCCTCTTTGTGTGATATCAAACATTTTTAGCCAGTCAAATTGTGCTGTATAAGCAGATCAAAGGGAAAATAACATCACTTTGTGTTATGGTTACTTTTTCTAAAGTTATAAAAGATTATATTCACATCTAATGAGTTTTGAGTCAGTTACGAGCTCCAGAAACAGACTCTAATGTCATTGCTGACAAACTGCTCCAGAAATGAGCAATCAAAACACTTTCTCCCTCTTGTCCCACAATGGTAAAAATTTAGGTTTGAGAAACAACTGCTAGATTTTTTTTTTTTTTAAGGAGCTTAATTATACTGCCCACTTCACAACTGTGCTAAAAAACCTGCTGGTTATGCACTTGGGAGCAAGGGAGCATCACACCACTGAACTTCTTCACTCTTGCAGCTCAAGTGCCCTTGCATCCATGGATGCTGCTGTCTTTGCCTG